AAGTTATTATACAAGTAGAACACTCCACCTGGTTCACTTTACTGGCCCCACCGCCCTTTCAGCCCTAAGGTCTGCTGACTTTGCTTGGTGTGTATGAGGCAGATGCTGCAGCATTATATAAAACTTATACCAAAACATAAGTAGTAGAGATAAAAGAACCAGTAATGTTGCAGCTTATTAACATCATTACAATCTTTAATAATTTTGCCCTGGGGCATTTAATACCCATCCCTAAAACAAGTTAAGCTTCTCAATTTAAGCTAGTCATCAACTTGGTCACCTTAGCCCACGTGTCAAACTCAAGGCCCGCCACAGCTTTAAAGATTCATGAGTGTCCTAAAAAAAATCTATGCTGCCATACACTACATCTCCCACAATGCATGTCGATTTTGTGACCCGAGAAGTGACGGCATCCCACCACTAGATTGCGATGTTTCCACACCCACTACGGTAGTTTTCCACAAGTGGAGATGAGAAATGTATGCAAACAATCCCTAAATGTCCAAGACAAGATGCAGAAGGAAGGCAATTTCATGAAACGTGGGAACGTGAATACATGTTTGTGCTTCAAGGAGAAAACCCGGTAGGCTAGGCCTATGTCTTTTGTGTTATGAGGCAGTATCAGTGATGAAGGATCAACGTTAGTTAAGGTTCGTGCAGACTACACGACTTTCAGCGTGTGCCGTTCACACTGCACAACTTGCCGTCTTGTGACGGGAGTCTTGAAGTCGTTGTGGCGTTCACACTATGTGACTAATCGCTGACACACTACACGAGCTGACAGCGACTCTGTCACCCGACGCAGGTCTCCAAACCACATTTTGTCAAGAAAACACGTGAAAGGTGAAACGGGAAATGACGCGAACCTACAGACAAAACAGCTGTTGTTGTAAAGACAAAGAATCTGGGTGAAATAATAGATTAGCACACTCAGGTAGCAGGGATCGTCTGAGCTACAGAGAGAGCTGGAGGGGAGTAAAAAGTGTTTTGCTGTGAAGAAGTAGCTGCCTGCTCTCATTGGCTGGATGTGGATGTTGAGTGGGCCAAGTCTTCCAGATATTTGGCATGCTAGATATCTGGCAGACGTCGGCGATGTGTCAGAAATGTGTCGGGGATTCGTTTTGATGCGTCCTTGAATTCACACATAACTGGGGACCGCAGATCAACCGCTGATTTACCCCCGATCACAGCCCGACGGTCGCTGAGCGTCAAATCGGCTAAAAATTGTGTAGTGTGAACTAGGCTACTTTCCAGGTAATCAAACTCTCTGTCATTAGTTGGATGTATCCCCTCTGCAAGCTGTAGTTTATGGTGACATCAATATCAAGTTAGTGTGCAACACTGCTTCTGTTAAAATACAAAACAATTGCTTAATAAGTAGGAGAGACGTTTGATACCCGAATGTTGACGCTAATTTTACTTCGAGAAAGCGCGTGTTGCCGCTTATATATACATGACATTCCACGTGACCGATGACGTCCGAGCTTCGTATGTCACGAAATTGTGGCGCCAAACGATGCTGAAACGTGAAGGGGGCGTGGCGCGACTGGAGGACCTTGACGTCACCATTGGATCTGGGCTGAATTCAGCGGACAAAAGGTGGCAAAACATATATTTTTAAACGGAAACGGTGGTGCCTTGAATAGTTGTGTATGCAAGCGTGATGATTTGTACTGCATTTTTAAACACAGCTGTGTTTACAAATGTGTTGCAACTGATTGACACCACTGACACGCCCACCAAACGGGGAGGCCCGTCAACCCTTTGATTATCAATCTGGGGCTGCTCCTTGTTACATGCGCTTTGGTTTAGTAAGTGAAAAAGTTCTGTTTTCAGGTGCAGTAATGTTAACAGAAAGATTATAGTTAACGTTACTTGAAGTCAGTTGGCTAACACAATGAAGTAACCTTAATGTTTGTAATGCACTTTGCACTGAACTGCTGTAACTTACTTTAGCCCTATAACGTTACTGTGGAGACAGTCAAGCTCTGCCTTCAGTTAAGTTGGTCAAAAGTCAAAATATTATTACCACTAGTCAAAAAGTTTGAGGTAATCAGTTTCCACAAATATTTTGCGTATTCTGAAGTTATTTGGGTTTACAGTGGAGGAAAGGCACAGGCTAATAACACAATGGCGAGGAGAATTTAAGTGTCCAAGTAAGTCATGACAATGTGACAATCAATCAGCACAACAATACCGCGACCCTGAATCTGAAGCAGCTAAATGGAATTCAGCCATTTTATATTTTACACCAGTGCCTTTCCTACTATAACGTCAAAATATTTACAGTGAAGAAAGGCCAATGAGTGTGTGGATACACTGGCTTAACAATAACTTAAATTACAGACGACCAATATAGAAGTTTCACTCGACTTTAAATTTAAATAAAACAGTTTTACGAGCACACAAAAAGTCATATGTGTAACGCAAAACAGTCAGACATATTAACAGAAGTTATGATTTGAATTTGGTACAACATGTTGGTTGTTTCTTATGTTAATCTGTTTCTGTGCATGTGTGAAAAGTGTGTTGTGTATTCAAACATAAAAAATGTGACCAGAGGAATGTGCCAGCGCATGTGCTGGGAGGAGGCAAGATGTATAAATAAAATTAAGTTCTAATAGTACATCCATTGTCCATGGTTCTTCTGTTATGAGGAGAGAGAAGGGTGAAACATTTAATGACAACTTGAAATTACAAAGAAGTAATAAATAAATATAAATTAAACATACATATATTTAATTATCAACTTAAAAGTTAATTGAAGAAAATGTAGTTTTTACGGCTCCACGCTTCAATCCAGTCGGGGGCGGTAATGCACCTATACGCTGTCTTGCCAAACGCCAATAAATCCGAAGAAGAAGAAAATGAAGGCGCTCAAGATCAACTATGGATTATGGCTGTGTGGTATATGGATCAGCAGCCCCTTCAGTGATTAGCCAACTTGATTGAGTCCAAGCAAAAGCCCTTAGAGTGCGTAGTGGGGCATTTCGTACAACTCCAATACCGACACTATTAATAGAAGCAGGGGAGATGCCATTAGAAATAAGAAGACGTAAACTTGGTTTGAGGTATTTAATGAAACTAAAAGGACAGAATGTATGGGAACAGTGAGAAAGGTCAAAACAAACTTTACAGAAAAACTAAAATCTATGGCAAATGAAATTGGTATTGTCAATTTGAATGTATGTCCACCAATATGTCGTTCGGATATACCTTCATGGTTGATCCCAGATCCCATTGTTGACTTATATTTTATGGAAACAAGCAAAAGAAATATGTCAGAGGCTGTAGTTAAGGAGATAAAAACCCGGATGTGTCAAATATGGGGAGGCTTACCTACAAATTTATACTGATGTGTGAAAGGATCCTGAGAGCGGTAAATTGGCTTTGGGGTTGATATACCAGAAAGAGGTTATAAAAAACGGGTGTGGGATTCCAGACCACATGTCGGTCTTCACAGCAGAGCTGGTGGCAGTGCTATGGGCATTAAGGTGGGTTGAAGATAAAAAACAGGAGCATTCGGTCATATGGTCATACTCTGCAGCAACTCTAATTACAAGTAAAGATGCTAAAACAAAGTCAAGACTTGATTTACTTATGTAAATTATGCAAGCGTTGTATAGAATTTACAAAGCAGGGTATGGGGGTGGGGTTTCTGTGGATTCCGGCGCACATGGGTGTGGAGGGTAATGAGGAGACAGATGGGGTGGCAAGAAGGCGGTGCAGGAGGAAAGAGTTCAAATTAATTTACAGTATGGGTCACCGGATTACACAGAAATAATAAATAGGTCAGTGAAAGAAATGTGGCAAAAATCATGGGAAAATGAAAGGAAAGGGAGGAAATATTACTCAGTACAAAGAATTGTAGAGAAAGGAAAATGCTTTTAGATGTAAGAGAAGAGATGCAGTAGTTCTATCCAGATTGAAGTTTGGGCATTGTGGGCTGAGGAGTGGGCTGGCTCTGATTGGTAAATATTCTGATAGAAAATGTGAATGTGGAGACAAGGAATCAGTAAAGCATGTATTAGTTTATTGTAGAAAGTACTCCTGTCAAAGGAGGAAATTGTTTAGAGACCTGGGAGCAATTGGAGAAACTATATTTAGCATACTCACTCTACTTAATTTGGATAGTTGAAACAAAATGAAGAAACTGATTGAGTATCTACATAAAACGGGATTATACAGAAGGATTTAGGCAATCACCATTAAATGTGAATAACGAACAGAGGAGGGCAGCTATACGCCATAGATGCGTGTAGTCTGCCGGAAATAAGAAGTAGAAGAAGAAGACGCCCTCCGATACCTTCCCAGCAAGGTGTCTGTTGCAAGAGGTTGCTGGAGCTAATAGATACAATACATATTTCGACATAGTAAATCATAATCATTTGCATAATATTGCAAAAGAGAGCTTAGGAAGAGAAGTAGATGTACATGTATTATTAGGGAGAGTGGAATTGAGAGGAAAAATTAAAAAGGGCTTAATAAAACAATGGCAGAGAGGGTGGGAAAAGGAAATTAGAGGCAGACACTACTTTTCTATACAACCCAAAGTTAGGAAGAGATGTTTATGTAACATTTTGTCCCGCAGGGACTCAGTTAAAATGTGCAGATTGAGGTTGGGGCACTGTGGATTAAATTATTCTTTGTGCATTGTAGGGAAGCATGTTTCTGGCTTGTGTGAATGTGGGAGTCTTGAGACAATAGGGCCTGTTTTCATGGAATGCAGAAAGTATAGGGCAGAAAGAAATTTACTCTTTAATAAACTGTCAGGTATGGAGTTGAGGCTTTTTCTGTTTTATCTTTGTTTGGGCACAATGACGAGCATAAACTGATCTCCAAGGCAGTCCTTTAATTCTTGCATGACACAGGACTGTATGTAAGAATTTAGTTCAAACTTTGACCTGTTGAGGGCAGTAATACGCTCATAAGCGTCTACACTGCCGGGATCTTACAAGAAGAAGAAGAAGAAGCGGAAGCAGAAGCAGAAGCAGTTGTTGTTACAGTCCATAGACTGTTCCAGAGGAGGGCAGTAATGTGGAGGCTGTGTTTTGTTTATTCAAATACTTAACCCTAGTGGTCAGACACTGTTACTGAGCCTCTCCGTTTTGCTTGCAGCTTCAGCTAACTGCAGCCAATTTAAAGCTACTTCTCATTCGATAAATGCTAACAACGCTTCAAGCTAATTCTGTGCTCATACCTCTGAGAAAACCACGTTTTAGTGTTTTATGATGCGCTGATTTGATTCAACGTTACGTCGTTCATGCCTGCGACAGGTTAGGTGAACTTTGACACACTGACGAGTTCGCTGAGACTTTGCAAGTAAGTTAAGTTTCAGGGTAATTAGCACGCTTTACTTTACATTTTATTAAAGCAAAGTGTTCCTGAACGAAAGTAAGAGCCACTGACGCTGCAGACCCGAAGATGACGTCCAAGAGAGTGATCGAGTTGTTCTACGATGTGGTTTCCCCGTACTCTTGGCTCGGCTTCGAGGTTTGTTACTGTTTTCGTGTCAGCTTCAAGGACAAAAGCCACATACTTCGTTAAAATAAAGCTTTGTGTTTACAGGTAATGTGTCGCTACAGACACGTGTGGAATATAGAGCTCAAACTGCGTCCTGCGTTTCTGGGTGGCGTCATGCAAGGATCAGGTACAGTTAAATGAACAGTGATGGAAAGTAACTAAGTAACGTTACATTTACTCAATTAAATACTGTGCTTTCCCACCATTATGAAGTACTTCAGTATTTCCATTTTCTGTTTGTTTATACTTGGACTACTACTGTACATTTCAAAGGCACTACATTTATTTGATAACTTAATGTTCTTTGTAGATTCAGATAAATTTAGATAAAATATAATAAAAGTACAAGACATAAAATTAGCCCCACATTTACCAGCTGTAAAATTAATTCATCAATAAATACAATCCAATAATAAAATTCATATTATTCTGAAATATGCTTATCTGCAAAATCGGTACTTTTAGTTTTGGTCCTTTGAGTATATTTTGTTGCTAATATGTCCTTACTTTTACTTACGTAAAAAACTGTTGCATGACTTTTACTTATGACAGTATTTCTGCACTCAAGATCTGAGCACTTCTTCCATCACTGTAAATAAATATTTGGGAACTACTGTGAACTACCTGTGAACTATTGCAGGGCATGTTGCATGATCATATCTGTTTGGACAATGTTAGTACTGTTTATATATTTCATATGATATTTATCTTTCATGACAGGCAACAAGCCCCCTGGTATGGTTCCAAATAAATTCCTGTACATGAGCAAGGATCTGAACCGCTTGGCCGAGTATTTTGATGTTCCCTTGCAGACTCCATCTGACCCCTTTGACGTCATGTTCAAAAAAGGTACAAGCAGGAACTGATCAGAATGGTTATGTGTATTTATTAGCCCATGGCCATATTAACCTGCTTGGGGGTTCCAAGGCTAAAATGAGCCTCTGGTCCCTCTATACTCCCGTTCTTCTTCACCTCTGGACATTGTGTACTTTTTTTACTGGCTCCTGGTTTGCTGTGTGGTAATTTCACTAAACCCAAATTTATTTAGAGATATGCACCAAGCAAGCACAATATCAGTAAATTTTGACTAGATGGGGAATTTTGTTAAGTAGTTTTTGCTATTTTCTGACATTTTATATACAAAATGATTAATCAAGAAAAAAGTAAGCAGATTAAACGATAATGGAAATTATTATTACTCATAGTGTTCATTTTGAAACAGGGCAACAAGATGAGATATTAAAGAAGGATCCACCATAAAGCAGCACTAATTGATTTATTTAGGCACTTTGGGGTCAGTGGAACAAATTGTAAACACAACATATGACTGACATATTATCACCTTGAATATTTAAACAGTTGCTTATTTACTCCTCTTGCAAACAAAGCAACTCTAGCTTTCATTTTGAGTCCAGTTTCTCGCCTTCTGATGAATGTAAGTTAAATATTGACTCATTAAGCTCTGTTTTGATCTCTGAAATAGCTGGCTCTTTGGATGCTAACTGCTACCTTTGTCTGCAGTTGGGTGCTGAGCAGGTAATGTAGAGTCAGTTTATCAGAGCTTTCTGGCTGCGAACAGCTGCCTGCTGTGTCTTAAATACAGGTTGATAAGAACACAGAGACACTGCGGGCCGTTAACCCAAAACAATGAGCTGAAAGATACTGAACTGCTCCATAAAGCATTGAAGGATAATTCTCTGTGGGTATTTCATTAGGGATACGCCCTTTTTCAGTCCCAATACCGATACAAATACCTGGGCTTTGGGTATCAATGCAGAGTACTAATCCAGCACCAGTGTAAAAGTAATAAGCTGTATTCCTCACTAAGACTGAGAATCATGTTATTTGGCAGGAGGTGCTTGAATAAGTTGGTTGTGTTCTACGTTTTAGTGATGCCACCCATTGAAACATTGGCTTTTGCAGATATTGCAAGTAGCCATAGAACTTGTGTGTGTAGCAGGAATGAAATACTGTACCTCCAAACTGCTGACCCCTTGTTCTTAGCTCCCTCTATGCTATGTTAGCTCTCCTAGCAAAATGTTTGTGTCTACTGGCGCACCACTGACGCATTGCGTAGTATACATGTAATTGACTTGAATAGATTGTCCCTATAAATCGTCCCCCTTGTCACGATACCCGATCAACTTATTTGAGTCAGTACTGGGCCGATATCCGATACCGTATTGGATTGGTGCATCCCTATTTATCACTACGAGTGACTCCTTTCACATTGCTGTTATGTTTATGTAAATGGTCTGAGAATGTAAAATATATATATATATATATATTTATTTATTTGTACTTGGCAGCTTGTATCCTTTTTTACTTGTGTTCAGTTAAGTTTGAACAAATTAAGTAATTCCTTGATATTCAGTCTTTTTCTCTCCTACTTTTCACACCTCTCCTTCTTAGAAAATATGATTTATATAATATGTTTATCCAGGAAAGGATGGAAATGGATGGTGTTTGTGCTGCCATCTGATTTTCACTTAGGAACTGTTTGTGCCATGGATGTCTTATTTGATTGTGTTGATAAAACTAAATTTCTGCCACGTAGTGAACCTGGGGATTTTGTTTGTCCCTGGGGCTCTGGCTCTGAGGTTAGGAGTCCAATTTTGCACAGTTGATAATTCAGGCTTGCACAAGGCTTTGGTGGTACTGTCTTTTTTGAGCAACGCTAATAAGGCAGCGACTTCTGTTTTCTTCTTCTAGGCTCCTTGACTGCAATGCGTTTTATAGCTGCAGTACAAGAGATGGAGAAGGGTGGAGACAAGCAGGTGGAGCAGGTGTCCCGGGAGCTGTGGAGAAGGATCTGGAGTGAGGACAAAGACATCACTGAACCTGCATCATTAGCTGAGGTACCAACTTATCCAGCCTGGTTGTGTTTGCACAGGTTAAGAAGCATTATTCAGTTGTTTAAACTTTTTATTTTTTATTTTTTTTGCAGGCAGCGATGAAAGCAGGATTGTCTGACAGTGAGATTAAAGAAGTGTTTGAGCTGTCCACCTCAAAAGAGATCAAAGACAAGCTGACAAGCACAACACAGGATGCACTTGATCATGGGGTTGGTTGTGTTCTTTAGTTCTCCTTGTAGATTCAGAAGACAGACAACACTTTAAAATATATTGACCAAAATCTCTCCTACTGCCTCTCCCCAGGCATTTGGCTTCCCCCTGATGGTGTGTCATGTAAGTGGAAAGCCAGAGATGTTTTTTGGATCTGACCGATTTGAGCTCATGGCCCATTGCATTGGTGAGAAACCTACTCTGCTGTTCATTCACAAACACAAACACACATAAAGTAAGTGATAATATAAGGATTAAAATGACACTTGTCATAGCCTTAATCTGTGGTGTCAGCCATGATAAGAGCATTAGATAAATATCTAAAATGTAAATATACTGTTGCTGACACACTGGAGTCATATAGCCGTGTTGAGATTCTTGCCCAAACTCATTTTGCTCTCTCTCTGCCTCAGGGGAGAAGTGGCTGGGACCTCAACCCGACAAATCGGCTGCCAAACTGTGAAAGAAAAAGCTGCCCTGGGTGCTCACACATTTTTGAATTTGGCATCTCATGTTAATGATGTCTAATGCTGATATTCCCTAGTTCTTCAAATTTCATTTTTTCTATACTGTGCCTTCTGAAACCAAGCAGTATATGTTGCCATTATAACTTAAAGAAATAGTTGTGTAAAAAATGTGACAGACTATTGTACTGCTAATTATGTGTCTAATTAAAATGAACACTAACAACTTGCATATTAAGATGGTTACATTTTCATTGAAATACAAAGGCATTTAAAGGATTTAACTATGTAATAGTTGCCTTATGTAACATGTAATTATATTTTTAGCCATACTAACGATGTGGCTCTAAGGATTGTGGGAATTTCAGTCCAGCACTGAGATCCAGACTGAAAAATCTAAAAAACAAAACTGACATTCAACAACATTCATGGTCCCAACAGAATGAATGCTAATGACTTTGTACATCCTCAGCTGTACTGGGGATGATGTTTTCAGTTTCACATCAAAATAATATTCAAGAAGCACAGGTGACTCAGTCAGTGGGAGCCCGCCCTAAGCAAGGTTTAGTCCTTATAACTGCCGCCCCAGGATGCAGCATGTCGTCTCCCCTCTCTTTCCCTCATTTCTAACTTCTCTCTCTGTCCTACACAAATGAAGGCTAAAACGCCCCAAAAATATCTTTAAAGAATAAACAAATTAAGATGTCAGGTAGTGTGTTGTAGTGACAGTTGAGAGACTGTTGTGAAATCAATCAATTCTTTGTAAACCATCATACTAAATCTATTAACATTAATTTAATCACAACTCCTGCTTTGTTTCCTATGTTTCAGCACATGATTCATTTACGTACAGATTTCCTCCCACAGTCCAAGTTAATGCAAGTTAGGTGGATTGGAAACCTGACTGCCCATAGGTATAAATGTTAATTTGTGTTTGCTTTATGTTAGACTGATGAGCTCCACCAGGGTGTAACCCTGATCCCATTGTGAGCTGGGATACGCTCCAATCCCTTGCAACACTAAAGGGGTTGTGGGTATAGATAATGGAGGGCTGGATGAAACCTTTTGTAAACAAATAAATTTCAAAAGTCAACATGAGATAGGAACTCATTAGTCTTTACACTTTACACAGAGCTTAATTTTTAGCAAATATTTTAATGCTCTGTTTATTTGTATGTCAGACACAGTAGCTCAACTACTGATCAGATTAAACAAAATAATACATCAAATAATACATCAAATGGTCCATTCTGGTTTAAAAATAAAATACGATTTACACCCTGGATTATTTTTGTTTCTTCCCTTTGTTTCTTTTTAGATAAAATAAGATAACTTTTCTTGGTATGTAAAACACTGGATTGCATTTATGAAAAATTGCACAAATTTTCAGTCTACTCTAATCCTCACTTGATTTTATTAATCTGTCTGTAAATTTTCTCCGTCTTTTATCTGTGACATCCTCCATGATGTTTTTTACTGAACCAGAGCACTGACATAAATATGGAAGCAGTTCATTATTGCTGAGTAAATAGAGACTGCAAAGCTTGTCATACGAGTTCCAGTGCAATGAAGGCAAAACATGCTCAACAAAAGGCTGAGGGCTTAAAAGGACAAGGAGCGGCAGGACCAGTTTCCCTTAAACAAAGAAGAGAAAGGCAGTGCCAGAGGTAGCTGACATATGTCAACTTCAGACAGAAAAAGCTAATTACAGAATGTGGTAGAGCAAACTGAGAGAGGCAGGGCATGACTGTGGATTACCATAAACCTGAAATCTGTTTGATGCATCACTTCCTGACTTGAAAAGGAGAGAGACAGAAAAGAGGAAGGAGAAAGAGGTTAATAGGAGAGAAGAGGGATACGGTGTAGGTGAGGAGGGTGGAGTTAAGAAACCACAGAAGGTGGACAAGACAAACAGAGAGCAGCGCACAGATCCCTTGAGCTTGGCAAACTGCCCGAGTAAAACAAGACAATGAAGACCTGAAAAGCAAAGCTGAACCCGGACTCCACATTCAGCTGGGAGGATGTAAGAAAAGGACCTGACTGTGAGAAGGAGAGAAACATGAGCCTGAAATAACTGCATCGAACATTTTCTTTGGCATATAACACACAACTGAAGCTGAGGTAAGGATTTTTATATTCTACATGTGTTTTCTGTGATTCTTTAAAAATAGTTATTGTAGCTCTGTGGTGGAGTGAACTAATGTTTATGCATGATATTAATCTGATAGAGGCTTTTAATTCACTCACTCGGGGTCTTTCTGCAATAATGATGCCATTTTTCTTTTGTGGACGGATCAGTGCTGTTTTGCCATTTATGTTTGCCCTTTGGGTGTGTAGTGCAACACCGACATTTACTGTATGTGTTAAAAATGCAGATGAACAGGTTTAGAGATCTCGCTCTGATCTGACGTTAAAGGATGATCATGTGGTTGAAGAGTTTCCCTGTGTGTGTCTGTGTGTGTGTGTGTCTCTCTATTCAGATATACAGCATTAAGGTCCCTCTGTTTAGAGAATCTTGCACGCAGCTTTGATGAAAATTGTTTTTTGTGATTACGCTAGCTCATATAGTATTATCCCATCTTAAGATAGACCAATTTAAGATAGGTCTGTGCTGTAAGACCAAAAGGATTCAAATGTCGTGTTATAAAAGAAGACAAAATTGGTGAGCTGTCAGAGTTTTTATTCTTATTTGTCAGTGGCGGGAAGAGACAGTGACACAACACCTGAAGTTCTTGTTCTCAGTCACATGTTCACTCAGACACCTTCTCACACTGGATACCTGTAAGAGTCCTGTTACTATTCACAGATTCAGCCCTAGAGACAAAATGGGTTTCAGGACTACCACCTTTGCTTTATCATGTTTTATTCATCTTCATCTATTTTTATACCCACAACAAAGACTTAAATTGCTTTTGTAAATAGAAAATATCCTGAAACTTTTACATAACAACTGTAAGCATGTGGAAATACTAGAAACCTACTGAATGCCAAGTTTGACTGCGTGAACGGGGTATGAGGAATGGGAAACAGTGAATAAAATCACCTTTAACAGCATTTCTTTAATCTCATCTGATTTTATATTCAACAGGATGACTTCATTATCAGAAGCAGACTTCCAGTGCAAAAATGGAGATACTATCTGTGGTGAGTTTAATCAGCAGAGATCAGCCATTCTGGCCATTGGAGGCTTTGTCACTGATGACATACCAGCACAGACGCACATGCCACTTTAAGATCCCCGAATCTCAGACTTTGTGATTACAAAGACTGTGCCTGTTTCTGTTTACAGCCATCCGAGTGTATGAGCAGGAGGTGATCATTGTGCCCATCTTCCTGCTGGCTGGCTTCCTGATCACTCTGGTCTTCATTTTACTGATGCGCTTTTGTCCAGAGAAAGTTCATCGCATCCGTCCACAGGCCTCGAAGTCAGCCACCAGGAGAATACTGCATGGCATTGATGGTAAGACACTGGAATAGACTTGTAGTTTGTTAGTGTTGATTTAAATAAATGAAATCATATCACAGAAATTAAATTAGGTCTACACTGTCAGCAAGCTGATTCCATATGTAAATTTCTTGTATTTTCCTTTTTCCAGGAGCTGTAGTTTACCCTTCATTTTTCCATACACTCATTTTTGTCTTTGTTTAGCACATTTTAAACTGTCTGTACACCACATGCATCATATGCTTTTTTTCAACACAAAAGTCTGACATATTCTTTTGTCAATTTAAAAAAGTATAAAGCTGTCAGAAACCCTAAATACAAGAGAAAATGGCTCCAGGCACCATTAAAAATGTGCAAATCGTATGTAATAATCAGTCAATATACTATTATAGAACAATTCAAGGTTGTAAAAAAATGTTGTTTCACATTTTATACACACAAATAGAGAAGAATGTAAGAAATAAAACTATATTACTTTTTATTATTATTATTTACATGTAAAGTTATTTTGATCCCAACTTGTCTTTGTGCCTTTTTCATTTAAAGTGACAATATCAATAACTCACAATAAAACCATTCGTCCCACAATTGCTTACATTATTTTCTGCATTGCAGAATCTTTTGAAAGTGAAAGTTTTATTTTTGTTTAACATTTATATAGTGTTTGAAATGTCAAATTTCTATTCTACAGAATTGTAAGCAAGGTTTGCAAACAGAGTTTTAGTTTCTGCATTGCCTTAACAACACAGTATCCCCCTTTTATCATTAAGCACTCTATCCAAGTTTCAGCTAGACATTTTCTTCCAGCAAGACACAAAGATAAATAGTTATATTTACTTACTCTCATGTAAACCTGTGCACTCATCCATAATGGTAATTATTCTCTCCCTCTCTCCCCCTTAACCCTCTTTTCATAGCTCCACCAGGTATCAATGTCCTGGAGCATGAAAGCATCGCTCTGGACATGCCCACTTCCTACTCCACCTTCCAACCCCCAAACTCTAACTACCCCTCCAAAAACCTGTCCATGTCTGTGGTCACACCTTCTTTCCCACACAGCCCCCCACCACAGCCCTTCAAGCCCAATTTCATCCCCGTTGTCCAGCCCAGAGAGTTGCCCCGTCAGAGGCTGCCCGAGTCCTTCAACCTGGTCACCCCTCTGCCTGTTGCCTTCTCCCTGCGCACCGACTCTTCTGTGTCCCTCTGCAGGGCTCGAATGGAAAACAGGAATGTGGTGCTGCGAGTCCTAAATGGTGGGTTCTTTATTGCTATCATTTGCAGGCCTTTCTCACCTGATTTTCAGGACATGGTTTCTGTAGTGTTTCCTTTTTCACTCTCAACCCCCTCTCATTCTTGCCTGTTGCAGACTCTGCTGATGCCACAGAAAGGCACAACTTCCTGGGCTTTGCATCCTTCTTGTCCCAGCTGGGACCACATCCCTTCCTGCCAGAGCTTCTTGGTGTTGTCTCACTCCGGGCTCCCCTGGTTACAGTTGTGGAAGAACTGGAGAATCGAGATCTGCTCAGCTTCCTGTGGCGTTGCAGACAGGTATATTTTTTGCATACGGGCTATACTGCTGCAATGTGCCTTAACTCACTTTAAGTATCAAACCATATATATATAAAGCAAAACAAAAACATTCAGATTGAGCAAAATAATGATTGATTGATCTTCCAAATGGCCAAGTATCTTCTCTTTGGGTTTTTTCTTCCAGGAACAAGTGGATAATCCATGTGAGATGACTGAGAGACGAATATTTACCATGGCCAAACAGGTGGCCTCAGCTCTGGTCAGTTTGCTAATAATTATGTCCTCACCTTTTTTAGACCACATTTGACTTTCAGATCACTGACATACCATAAAATTGTCCTGACCCCTTTTCAGTACATTGAATTGTTGACAGGGTTTCCCTCCAATACTCATTCATCATAACATGCACCTACCTGACAATCACAAAAACACCAATTTCTTGTATTTTTGTATCATTGACTCATCACTTTTACTTTGTGTAAAACAAAAAAAACCAAACACATATAGTCTACAGCCGTGATAGCAGGTCTGGGGGCTGTACAGTGCTTAAAGCTAAATGCTTTAAGTCCAATAACCTAGTTGTTCAGATATTTCAGTCTGGACCAAAGTGGTGGACCCACTGACAGATCAACATTGCCATCTTTAGAGCTGCTAGCATGACAAAAATTACTTAAATATGGCTTTTTTTATTTAAAAAAATAGCTTTTTAATTGTTGTTCAATTCTGCCCACCCAAACAAATATGTTTTAATCATTAACTTTTGATGGTTCTCACCATGCTTTAAATACCTGGATCTGCAATACCAGTGGATCTGAAACAGATGTTCTTTAAATGCAGTTTCCGTGAGGGTTTAGGAAGACATATTTATTTGTCAGACAGCATAGATGACTGAACTGAAATGAACCGCACAGGGTTGCATGTTTAATCCTTTGATGCCTCTTGTCTTGTTGCCCGATCAGGAGTTCCTTCATAGCAAAGATATTCTCCACGGAAACATCCGTGCCCACAGCGTACTAGTCACCAAGGAGTTCACAGCCAAGCTTTGGGGCCTGCATGGGGTCTACACAAGGAAGAACCAGGAAGCCACTCAGAGAGATGATCCCAGCATGAAGAAATGGCAGGCACCAGAGCTGTTAGCCAAAAGACCTGCTGGTCAGAGCAGCGACATGTGAGTCTTTCTATTTTTTTTTTTTATCTCTGGCATTGTTTGTAGTTTCCATCTTTCAATACAGATGCTGCTTCGGCAGAAAAGAAAATGCTGCTACTAACTTAAAGCAGAGAGAAAAGAAATGCATGTTCTGTGAGTGTAATATTAAAAGCATTTACTTAATGGCAGACTAATCATTATTTCCATATGCGTGTCCCTCTCTAGCTGGTCATTCGGCATCTTACTATATGAAATGGCAACATTGGGTAAGTTGAATTTTAACTTTTGGGAGCATAAATAAGTGATTTTCACGAGTTTCAAAACCCATAAACATTTGCATAAATGTGATGAAGTATCTTATTCTGTAAGGTATTTAATTTGCAAACAGACATGCTATTTTATACATAAACAGCTTCTTTAATAACTCCTTTCTCTCCAGGTGAAGCTCCTTTTGCAGAAATCCCAGTTAATGAGCTACTGCAGTTTCATCAACGAGGGAAAAGTCTGAAAAAACCTTCCAACTGTTCCAACACGCTGTAAGTGTCCGCTACATGTTCCAAACAACTCACAACCAAACCTGAAGCAGAGTGCTGTTCCCCCTCTTTATTAACATATGTGATGTAAAGCTCAGACTATTTCGTCTCTCTCTCCCTCAGATACTCCGTCATGAAGAGTTGTTGCCAGTGGAAGGATCAAGATCGACCCTCTCTGGCTGAGGTGAGCCGCAAGCTCCTGTCAGGAGAGAAAAGTGCTTCCGACAAAGTCCTCAAGGTGTCGGGGACAGTAAACATCGAGCAGTACCTGCAGGAAGCAGGATACGGGGAGGCAAATAGCTACACTGTTTTTTGATCACTCCCTGTGCAAGCAAAAATACATTGCACTATTCTCCCCAATGTTGCACTTCTACACAACACTATCTTTCAGGTGCAATAAAAGTGTTCCAAACTGTTTGAGTGCTGTGGGCACTGAAATTGTTCCTTTATTTGTTGCGTATTCTTCTACTTGAGGTCTACACAATGTAAATGAGAAACAATGTGCCAAATAATCTCATTCATGTGCATCTTTGTCCATCTAGGGAATGCCTAAATGTTTGAGGTTCAGTTAGGGAAATATAACATGATTAACATAATTTGTTTTTGTAGTAGTACACTTTAATATATGTAAACTTGACCAATGTACAGCCACTGCATCCTAAACTTGTATATTATGAGTCATGCATCTTGTTTACAACCTAAAGCCAATGTATATTAACAGATGTAATATGTTATTACATTTTTATATGGTTTCATATTTGGCAGGGTTAAGGAAATGAAGGACATAAATTTAATTATGCTGTTATTACACTCACTGTCTTCTCTATGAGCTCAGTTCATGTGGACATTTCCAAACAAGAAATGATCTCAAACTGTTTATTGTTAAATGTGAATAAAAATATAAAATTAAGTCCCACAATGACCTTTTCAAGTGGACATGATTGGGGTAAAAACACACACACACGCGCGCGTCCAGTAACAGGTATTGTTTATTGGTAGTACTGCATCTCGCATGTACACAGAGCACTTCCACTCAGCCCTTGAGAGAGCAAACCATGAGAAATACCTATTTTCAGGTAGTCAAGTTGATTAAAGCTGCTAAAACTATATCATATCCATGAAAAAATAATTTTGATTGTAGTACAAAATGGAAAAGATACAAAACTAAACTTTTAATAACTGGTAAATGAACAAATTAAAATACCAGGCTTTCTGAGTGTCCTTTGCTTGATGTGATTGGAGCCTGGATTTAACATCTATGGTAAAATAACAAGTAACTACTAGAAGACCTATATATAACATATAAATGAAGTGGACTTATTGACGTCACTCCAAATCATATCACTAAAGTATAAGCACCATTTGAAATACAGCAAGAAGGCAACATCTCTCTTTTTTCCCCACCCAACAGGTGAACTGTCCTAGCTAGAAGACCTAGCACTGATTACTGCAGGTTGTCAGATTTGCAGTTTCACAAGATTATACATACAAACAGGGCTCTACTCACAGAGACAGAAAAAAAACTGACAAACACTACTGACATGTATACTTCTGTCCACGCTCACACACTCACACACAACAGTATACAAACGTGTTTTTGCACATTCAATGTCCAGAAAGTAAACTGTCCATCCCCATGTCTTCACATGACCGATGGTGCACCATTGTTTTGTAAAAAACAAAACAAAACAAAAAAAAACATCCTTACTGTCCCCACAGATGTTAGTCTTTTTAACTTCTTACTTTAAGAGGACCAGATCCAGGTATTGATTCCAGTGAGAAGTCATCAATGAGAAAATGATCCTGGTGTCCCCCCTGAGGCAGTGCATCACTCACGCAGGGTGTTGATAGAGGCACAGATCTTGAGAGCGGGACCCAGCTTGATATTCATGGTGGAGATGAGATGGTCCTCTCGCAGAAGCAGCAGAGCCTGCCCATCGATTTCCTGCGACAGAAACTGGGCAGCCAACTCTTCACAGCCTGGACACAACACAGGGAGATAGAATTTAGTACAAAAACAGACCAGGAGACATGGCCAAGGCTTACAAATCAGCAAGATAATCACTGAACACCAACCTTGAAGTGAAGAGATAAACCTGAAGACCTCCTCCACACTCCACTGAGCAGGAGTTGCTGACAGAAAGTTAGCCCCCTCTAGTGGGAGGTTACCAGGAGCCGAGCTGTCAGACGGAGGAGCACTGAGTCCAGCTCTCGAGCAGGAGTGTGAAGAGCTTGGGGACAGTGAAGGAGAATCGTCCTCCTCTTCTTCGCCGTCACTGGATACGTCCTCCGAGCGACTGGACTCCGAGTGGCACTATGCAAAAAAAGAGTGGAGATTCAGATGCAAAAGCCAACAAAATAAATGCGAGCGAGCAAGCTGTTGATAATGCAACCATATGATGTATAAAGCCTAAAGCATCTTACTATCGACAAAATCCACAAAAAGCCCATAACCAACAAATGTGTTAGTTCTGCCTCTCAATACTTCTGACTTCCCTACAATCTGTGGCACTTCAGGCCTATTCAAGCCAATCCATTCTATCTAAAGATGCAAATCTCAATAAAGACAGATCCTAAGTATAAAGTTTCAATTTAAAAAAAAAGTTGAATAGTTTGGTAAAACAGCTGGGGCACTGTAGTTTTTAGCAAAAATGAGTGCGTTTGTTGGGGACTAATTCCAGCAGCGGAATAATACACATTTTGTACACTACTACTTTGTTTTTAGTGTGACATCTAAGAAACCATCAGGCTTACCATACACTGGCAATACTTGTTAGTAGGATGAATTATTTGGTGTTTTTGATTTTTTGATTTGTTGACAATTGGAAAAATATAGAATATCATCAGCCTACCTTGACAGGTAGATGTCTGCCTGATATTTTATTACAGGTGATATTAGAACTGCTCCTGCGAGAAGGTCCCCTTCGCCTCGCAGTGCTCTCAGTGGGTGCCGGGGGTGGTGCCAGGCCTGCACCACTTCTCCCTCTGCTTGTCTTGAAGTGTTGGCTGCAACTCACATTATACCTGTGGACCCAGGAGCACAGTCAATCCTCAGGAAAGACATTTCCTAGGTTTTCGTTCTCCTATGTGTATGTATCTTGTTTTTAACTCCAGCTCAACGTGCCAATAGGGTCTAATCATTGGCATCTCCTTTGGCTTGTTCCCTTATTACATATGGTTACTTACCTATGTAAAGCACAGTAGAGTTTTTGGAGGTATGTGTAAAAACAATGCCAAAATGGCAAGCTAAAGTAAAACGTACCTCTTAGCACAAGTATTTGAACAGAACCTCTTTGATCCTCTGAACTGGCTAGCTGGGGCGAGGCTTCCACAGTACTCACACTTTAACACTGAAGAGGAAAATAAAGGATAAAACTATGTTGCGTGTTTAGGAAATATTGACTGTGCACACAGATTCATGGTATCATACTTGATCTTTAAAAAATAAGAGTTATTCCACCACTTACACGGAGGTCCATTCTCTGAACGGCCAACAAGGGCAAAATCTCTGTCTTTGAGAAGTCCAGCAACCTGTCACATCAAATATAAGCCTGACAGTAAGGAAATGTTTCACAGAGAAAGATTTGATTTAATGTGAAATCTATGTTATCATAGCAGGGCACACTTACGGGGAAGGGCTCAGCTCCCTCCTGGATGACAAAGCCCTCTATGAGGTGGGTGAGGACTTGAGGTTTGACCACTGCCTGGGGAACAGGCGCTCTGTCTTTGTCCCCATGCCCGACTCTTGACAAGGGCAGAGGCAAAGACAGGGTGGGAGGAGATGAGAAGGCAGCTGCTACAGGAGGAGCTAGTGAGGATCGATAGAAACAGGAAAAAATAATGAGCTTTTTACCAGATTTCTAGACTTTTTTACTATTTCTAGATTTACAAATTTTCAAATATTGCTACTAATAATCTATGCTTGATTTGGACATGGCAAGGTGACATACCAGAGTTCTTTGTAGGGGCAGGGGATAAGGGAGGAGCAGAATCCTTCATGTGTGCAGAGTCTGAAGATTCTGTCGCCATCTCATTTGGTGCGTCACAGTCAGATTTTCTCTTTAGAGAGCCAATAGCAGGCTTTATCTAATGGGGGGGAAAGCAGGAGAACCGTTAGTTTGTTGTAAACTGACAGTTTTACTTACACCTAACCAGTGGTGGTGATGGCGCAATGGATAAGACACATGCCTTTGGATAAAAGCGTCAGCTAAATTAATAAATGTAACCAAAGTACATCCTTTGGCGTGGTTGATCTTACCACAGCACTGTTGTTGAAGACTGCATTAACATTCCCACCAGCTGTACTTTCTTGGGCAGCGCTGCTTCGTGCCTGTGCCAGGGCCACAGCCTGGACGTTTCCTGCTAAGCCCTGCCTTGCTCCCACAAGCTGCACAGGGATGTGTGGAAGGTTGTGTCCCCCAGTGGGGGCCTGGCTGTTGCTAGGTGGTGCTGGGAGGATGGGAGGTGGGTGTCGAGGGGGCATCTGGAAAGGCAAGCGCTGTACCTGAGCTGTCTTGGGCTGGATTGGCACAGGACCTTTGTCTGCAGTAGTGCTGGCCTGCTGTAGGGGCTGCACCACCAGAGTCTGTGTGTTAATGTTGGCTTTTGGGGTCACTGAGCCAATGGGGTAGCCCTGGCTGGTTGTAGGAACATTTGAGGTGGGCACCAGGATAACAGGGGCCGCAGAGGTGGACAGGAGGAGTTGGGAGAGAGGGAGTGCTGAAGAGGAGGTGGAGGAAGGAGCTACAGAAGCAGCAGGAGTAACAGTCATGGCAGTCTGGTTTCCAGTCTTTACGGCCATAGTGTTGGCTGTGGACTGCTGAGTAAAGTTGGGTTTGGCCATTTGTTGTTGCTGTTGTGGTTGCACTTGCTGCTGCTGAATTGTCTGGGCAAACTGCTGCTGACCGAGAGGAAAGCTGGCAACATCTTTCCTCTCTGGAAGCTCAGACTTGACAGCAACTGCTCTGGGAGTGCAGTGTAGTGCCAGATTCTGCACCTGTAAGATTTAGAAAGGAGCAGGTTGTGGGGACATGCATTTGAGAAACATAGTAGGTGTGCGCTTGGTGGAGACAATCATGTCTCTAAAAACGATCACATATTCAAGACAGATTGGCTTTAAATAGCTCAGACTTCACATTACAAGTAGATGATACTCAAACCTGATCATTGTCAGACTGGGCACTGGCAGTGGTAGGAGCAACTTCATGCTGCTGCTGCTGTTGCTGCTGGGGCTGTGTCTGGGCAACCGTTGCTACAGTAGCTGTTGCTGTACCACCAGGCATGAAGATGAGCTGAGAGGCTAGGGGAGCCCTGAGAGAGCGATTGACCTATATGAGGAAAAAATACTTCAATCAGTGACTCCTTAATTACATGGATTTCTTTAATGATCTGCCAACATTTTTGATGGTAAATGCTAGGTGGTCCTTTTTAAAATCACTTTCAGTACCACTGCTTTCTCTGGAGAAACTTGGCTTGAATTTCCTGGTGATGGCGTTGAGTTTATGTAGGTTTTAATTATACTTAATTATAGATCTATAATACTATTAATGTTCGGGCTAATAACAGAGTTTTTACTTTTGTTACAACTTGAATAGAATAGATAGATGCATAAATAGTTATGGAGACCACAATCAATACACTTTCACAAACAGAATAAAGGTTGAGTTTTTATAAGACTTGGGGACACAGACGAGTGCAATATGAATGCATTTAACAGATTATTACTCAAAAATGGACACAGAGCATACTAATTCTTAACTCACCCTAAGATACATCTGTCCCTGTCCTGCAGAGTTTCCACCCAGCAACACTGACTGGTTGAGAGCTGTTGTTGTTGCAGAGGTGGCCGGGCCGTGGGGACGGGCATTAGTCATGGTACCACCCGCAGACGTGGTGCTTAGGTTGACCTGGGAGGAACAGAAAATTGTACATTTTTATCAAACCAATCTTACCAATTCAAAAACTAGCCATGTAATTCATAATTCAAACAATAATTAAACTTACAGTGGTGGTCGCCTGAGACATGCTGTTACTTGGGGTATTGGACTGACGACTAGCTGCAAGCGTGGCCTGGTTTAAAGAGAGAAATGAAAGGGATGTAATGCTTGTGCATATTTGTGTACTGACTGCATATTCCTGTAATTCTGGTTACCTGTTGCACAGCGGCCAAGTTGTGGAGTTGGGCACTATTGATCTGCTGCTGCAGCATGAGCTGCTGGAAGTACTGAGCTGCATTTGGCTGTCTTTGTAGTGCTTGGAGAGCCTAAATAAACACACCCACACATACATATATACACTTTTAAGACTAATCCAGAAGTCTTTTTATGGTTTATATGGTCAATTCAAGATAACAAACTAAGTCTTTCCATCACATCTATGAAGTTGTTTATGCACACCTGTACAGCCTGTCTCTCATATAGAGACATGTGGGCAATCTGGGGTGCACGAGAATTCCCGCTTGTCTGAGGATTTCCATTGGTGGTGCCTGTGTTTTGGTCTTCACCTGCATCCATGTTGGCTGCTCAAAACACAGAAACCACTCATGATAAATGATAAATGTTTGTATTAATGAAACTTAACTGTAAATATTTTAGCACGAAGACTTGATGTAAATGGAATTTGGCACTCTTTGCTGGGACCACACAACTAAAATATTACATTTAAGAAACAAGTTTAAATAGACATACATATGAAAACTCAAATCATCAGTTACTAGCTGAAGTACAACAGCCAAACTCAGTGTCAACTCAGTGGCGTTATGTTTCAAATGTCTAACACTGATGACCTAGGAGAAGACAACTTCTAGGGTACACCCTCAAAATCTTCAGTATTCGGATTGTTTTTACCATAACTGTTGGGAGCAAAGTTTTATTCTCCCAGAGGGACCATAAATCACAGCTTGCAACATCACTGCACATACACGTTACATATGAGCTTGACAGACGTTATCTCTAACTTAAGACACTAATAACCGTGGCAAGCAGGAACATTGAGATATTTTCATTATCCGACCAGTTGTCAACATGACAGATGAATGCGGGAGAAAAAACAACATGGAGGAAAGCTCAAAACACAAAGTAAGAAAAAAAGCTAGCCAGCTGTAGCTAACTACAATGGACTTTGCTAGTTAACGTAAGCTAACCTCTCTAAACAAAAGTACGACATACCGTTATACAAATACATTAACGGCTGTAACTGAGTTAGAAAAAATGCCAATTGTAGAAACATTAGATGGAAGTGGAAAGTGACTTTGATGCTAACACTAACTTAACGTTAACGTAGCAGAAAATGTGCAGCGTTAGTTAAACTGTTAGACAGGCTAACTAACTAGCAGCTAGCTGCTTGTTGCAGGCAAAAAGCTAGTAACTAGCTGGCTATCATCCGTGCAAGAAGTCAACGTTTAGTGTTTCTCGGCGTGCTTATGTGTTTACCTCTCCTTGGTATTTCTGTCCTTTTCACTGTTAAATGTAATCAAGTTTTTGCGACCTTAGTTTTAACTGCAAACACCGATAGCCCCTTTCAGGGATTTTGCCTCCAACAAATCCCCGCCCCTTAGTCCTTTTTTTCTTTTTCTAATTCTTCTTCTTCTTCTTTGTGTGTTGCCGGTTGGCAAACGTTAAAGGGACATACAGCCATCTAGCTGTATGGGCGTGAATATATCTTTTTATATAAAGTCTATGGTGTAGATGGTAATTAAACTCCAGGGCCCAGTTGTTCAAACAGTTTAATCTGGATCAGAATTATTATTTGGAAATCCCATGTTTTGCTATCCAGAATCACGTAACCCATCTTATTTTAGTGCCAGTTTTCCATAGCAACATTGGATTGGATCACCCTGATCCAGATACAAAATTTTTCAGGATTACCAAATCTGCATTTGTACTAAATGGGACCACATATCACAACGCTGTTAATTATATAAAGACCAACAGGTAGAACACCCAGCATGGGGTCACTTTAATTTGAAGAGGCAGAAAACGCACAATAAAACAACAAAAAACATTTCCTTCCATTTTCAATTTCTTTAAACAGACCGACCATCTGGCCCTATTCAGAGAATTGGAAATTCAGATTTGGTAATCCTGAAAAGTTTGTATCTGGATCAGGGTGATCCATTCCAATGTTGCTTTGAAAAACGCACAAAAGTGAGAAGGGTTACATTTATTCATTTAGCTGATGCTTTTGTCCAAAGCGACTTACAACTGCTGTATATGTCAGAGGTTGCACGCCTCTGGAGCAACTAGGGGTTAAGTGTCTTGCTCAGCTACACATTGGTGTCTCACAGTGGATTTGTCTCTCACACCAAAGGCATTTGTCTAAACCACTGCGCGATCACCAACCATCCGGGATAGCAAAACATGGAATTTCCAAATTCGGATCATTCTGATCCAGATTAAACTTTTTGAACAACTTTGCCCAGGGCTTGGATCAAATCTTGAAAATGGGTTGTTCAAAAGAAAAAAAGGATTCTGGAATTGGATCAGCTCACCTAATCCAATTCTGGGTTTGATCTGGATCAAGCCTTCATTTTGTCCATCCACACATCCATCATCAACTGCTTATCCTGCGTACAGGGTCGCAGGGGGCTGGAGCCAATTCCAGCTGACATCGGGCGAAAGGCGGGGTACACCCTGGACAGGTCGCCAGTCCATCGCAGGGCCACACACAGACAGACAACCACTCACAGTCACACCTAAGGACAATTTAGGGTCACCAATCAACCTAAGCCGCATGTCTTTGGATAGTGGGAGGAAGCCGGAGCACCCGAAGAGAACCCACGCAGACACGGGGAGAACATGCAAACTCCACACAGAAAGGCCGGGGCATCCGGGGTTTGAACCTTGACCTTCTTGCTGTGAGGCTGTGCTGCCTCTACCTTCACTTTGTGTTGTTCAAAACGTTTTTGTAGGATTGGGATCTGTTTATTCCAAAAAAAAGTGATAAAGTAGTAATTACCTATAATAAACAATATATGAAACCACTAAATAAATAATCTCTTCTTTCTACCTGTACCTTGTGAAAACCAAATTTTCGTACCACTTCTTAAGCTGAGTCATGCTTGGGCACTGCTTTAGAAACTCCACAGGCTCATATGGTCTCTTTTTTAGAAAGATTACTCACATCCCAAGAGCTGTTGTTTATTGGAACCGGATTTTCAGTCACAGTAGGCTAGCTAATATGGAAATCCATATATTGAGTTAACTAAATAGGCCTACATATTTTCAGACTAATGAACCATATTGGTACACATCTATTGGCACTGTTACTGACTGACTACTGGTTCATAGAGGCATCATGTACCAAAAACTGAATTGAATATTTTAAAGGAATAGTTCAACATCTTGGGAAATATGTTTATTTCCGTTTTTCGTTAATAACTAGAAGCATAGAAAAACAGGAAACTCAGGAAACAATCTTCTTTTCAGCTCCTATAGAGCTCACTAATTACATAGACTTTGTGTCTGACTGAAGGCCTTTAGCCTTTTGCTCCCAATGGTTGTCCAGCACCCTGTGTGGTAGCTTGGTGCCATCATCATCGCTAATAGTTTATCATTATATAAACACAACTATTTAACATTTATTTGTTTAATCTGTTCAAAAACAGAAGCGTAATAACCTTTTTATATACAGTCTATGGTAATAACGAGCATCACTTAAGCTTCATATATTTTGCTATCTTCTCAAAAAATGTTGAATTGTTGCTTTAACTATGGAGTTAGAGCCCGGAGGCGATGAGCTTAGCAGGAAAAAGACGGAAGCAGGAACAGCTACCCATTTAACTAACTTTGATTTGCTTAATCCAAAGACACACAGACATGTAAAGACGACAGTCTGGTTTATGGTTTTGGGGGAGTTGTTATACACTTGTTATACACTTGACAATCCACCGCAGGTAGAGGAAACATCTAATGATAAACTCAGCAAGTACAAAGAACTCACCTAGCCTAAAGAACAAAATCATTACAGATTATTTATATACTATACTATACCTCATCATACGTTTTTGTGCAATTACAAAGTGTCTAATACATTGATTATTTTATCATCAGTAGCATGTTTGATTTCTGGTTTTGGGCCAACTTGAAATTTTTAGTTATTTTCAATATTAAAAAATAATAAGTTGCTAATTCAGCTCAAATCAAATACTCCCACCCAATAGTTGTGGAGAGACAAGTATCTACACTAATTGGGATGTGCATTTTACAAATAGTCTTTTCCAAGTAAAGGAATAATTTCCTCTGTCCTGCCAAGATGTTGAGAGCAACAAATCTTCTCAGTATCTTTGCAGTATAACTGTAAAGACACAAATGGTTCCTCCTGGTGGAATTTTGAGAGAAAAGCTCTCCTGTTCTTTTGACGGAACAGAATATCTGTCTGCATCAGAGTTCTAGAGTTCTGCTGTGCAACAGAATCAAAGAGTTTCGGTTTAGTGGTACAAATGTGGAGATCAACCTTCATGATTTAGACCATTGTCAATCATGCTCACATTGGTGTAGTGTGTTTATTGGCTACATTGATTGATTCAAATTTCATGGTTTGAAAGTCACAAAACATCTTGCATGTCATAGTCCCACAAACAGTCGATATCAGTGGCGGACTGATGTCGAGGGGCAGGGGCAAAAAAAGTAAAGGCGGCACCACCACGCATGTTTAAAGTATTACTACTAAAACCCTGTAATAAAAACATGCAGGGAATAATTTAGTAATTTAGAGGCACGTGTTGGCCAACAAGCAGTTTCTAAAGGGCACTGCCTCACGTTTCCTTGCAGATTGATCCACTGTAGAGGGCACTTTATTATATTTTATTTACCATAGGAGAGTCCAAGAAGGCACTTTTGTAAGCATTTTTTTCCCCCAAACATGGGGCAAACCCATGTAGCGATCCACGTGAAGCTTGGAAGGCTGAAGAGGTTAATTATTCATGTAGGCTATACAGATTTTTAACTGACGGCAATGACAGCAACTTATGTTCTGTTAGTGTTCAGGAGGTATGTTTATACAGTACAAGCTGGGACTCAGTAGGTGGCGGCAGAGGAAAGAGAGGAGGCATTTTAGTGACGTGAAATGTTTGACGCCTCAAATCCAGAAATGTAATGTATTCTGGGGGGCAAGGGAAGTCTGTGATAGGGCACTACACTTCGGCAAAAGGAAGAAATGAAAGTTGTTTCTGTATGACAACATAATTGACAGCATCATTCTGGCTCCACTTAATAGCTGCAGGTCCTGTCTTAACCGGTAAGCCCTTAAACCAATGCAAACATTACGATTACCAGGGACTGCTTGCTCAGAGACTACAAGTTTGCCTTTGAATTCATTATTTTCTTTAATTACCTCACCCTCTCCAATTTAAAAATGACAACAACTGTGTACAGAGTTTAGTATAGTTTTGTATTGTAGAAGAGAAAATTAATTTAGATTCATATACATGTTTCTTTTTAAGGTTTCTTGGTAAACATGGGTATCACCCATATTTACACTGAGAAAAAAAACCCTGGTAAACCTGCTTCTTTTCCCTGCAACATCTGCTAACTAAGAGACAATACTACTCAACATTAACAAAGAAGAGCTTAACCATTAGTTCATTTAAATATAAATTATTAATAAAAATGTTTTGTGCATGAAATGTTTATTAAAACATTTTTACATTCATTAAATCCCCAACGGTGAGTGCACTTGTGTGTGTACGGAGTTCACCACTACACTGGGCATACATAAACTTATTGCGTATTTTACAAACAAAAACGTTACTGGCTTGAAATCATACTTGAACCCAAACAGGCTTTTCTATTGATCTGAAGGTTGTTCAGTTCACGACAACTACAGGTGTAACCATTTCTACCAGAAACTGTAATAAACACAAAAAGCACATTGTAGAAACAAAACCAACATAACTGCTCACACTGACAATAATATAGTAACATACAGTAACTAAACTAACTTCCTAACGTAATCTTGCCACCAAGGTCAAATATCCTGCTTTAATTCTTAGTATTAATCATTTGAAACCTCTAAAATATCACAAACCTCATTATTGACACTATAATATATTTATACAGATGTATAGAAAATGAAGTGCTTTCATTTGCCGCTCTATCTTCCTAAAGAAGCAATACATCTGGATATTTGGTCAAAGTTCATCCTGTAATATTGGTGTGTGCGCATGTGGTGTTTGGGCCAGCTTTACCCAGGCAGATCAGTTTACCCACTATAATATTTAAATATTTTTACGATTATCAACAGAAAAGAATTTACATTTTGTGAATGTTCATTTCTTCTATGAATATATAAGTGCATGTACTACGAATCTACCATACTTTTGAAAATAAATTATATAACTGCCAATTACTGCATAGTAGCATTTATCATTTTGAATCTAAACACCAAATTGTAAGTTTAGCAGATTGATTTAATAACATTTTGCATTAGCATTATAGTTAGCTACAAGTGTCAGCTTCAGTCAGGAACTGATAATAATGACCATTTAAGGACAATTTTAGCATTGATGTGGAAGCTTTTGACCCATGATGTGGGAGGGAGAAAACAGCCAAGTAAAACATACATTCAGTCAAGCAGTGATT